ACTGACTTTCGATTCACTCTAGAAAGGGCAAAGATCACAAACCAAAGAAGCAATTTCCCTAAAGTCTGTTTTACTGAGACAGTGAATCTAATGCTTTCAGTTATGGTTACAGATGAGGTTTGCTCACAGGAACATGGGGCGCCCAGGTAGCTGCATCACTCTGGCCGGCTCACTCTGGCCTGGAAGATAACTCATAAAAGCTGTATCCCTCAGGGTTCCCAAACACATACAAGAGGAATCTTGCAGGGAGAGTGTTCAAGAATATCTTGTTCCAACAATTGTTACAAGTTATATAACTGTTGTGGAATATTAGTTTAAGATGTAGTATATTTACTTATGCTGTGGAACATTTGCTTGATGATGCAAGTATGTGGTGTCTTCTTTATGTTGCATTTGTTTAACTCTGTAAATGTATGTTATTTTGTCTCTCTAAAACACCTGATTGGTTTACTAAAGAGCAGAAGGTCCTATAGCCAAGCAGGAGGGGGTAGGGGGAATGCCAGGCAGAGAGAATAAATAAGAGGAGAAGTCTGGGCTCAAGAGAAGAACAGGAAGGATGATAAAGGAGATGGCGAAGAAGATTCCAGGTGCCAGCCACCTAGCCACCCAGCACCCAGCCAGCCAGGAATGAAAGATGTAGTTAAAAGAGAAATTGGGGTAATTCAAGTTAGAATAGCTGGCTAGAAACAAGTCAAGTCAAAGCTGGGCATTTATAAGTAAGAATAAGTCTCCGTGAATTTATTTGTGAGCTAGGTAGCGGCCCCCAAAAAGTAAAAGCCAACAACTACATACAGCCTTTTGGAAGGGCTCTTTAATGGTGCAGGTTTTGTTCATGTCATTTGGTCTTAATGATCATCTCTAGGAAGGGATGTTATAAATTGGAAAAATAGCTACCCAACAACTGTACATAAGTCAGGGGAAAATGCACAGTGGAAAACAAATTAGAATTAATGCTGAATATGTGTGTGCAATGAAAGCAAAGTAACTGCACCTGCTAAAGCTGGGTGGAGCCTGGGAAAGAAGCCAGCAAGGAAGCAGGTAAATTAGCATCTGGTTTCTTACTGGAAGGTGTACTTGAATTTGGCAAGTATTTTTTCCTTTTTTAAAACTGGAAAATTTGGTATGAAAAGATGCTCAGCAAATGCAGGCACTTTCCAAGCCTGACAACCTAAGTTTAATCCCCAGAACCCACAGGGTAGAAGGAAAGAACCGATTCTTACAACATGCCCTCAAACAATGTGTCTCTCTGTATGCTTATACATGTATGTGTAGACAAGCGTTTGAGTTTTCTCTGTGTGCCTGTTTGTGTGGTCTCTGTTGTGTTGCAGGTACACATATAGAAATGTTTGTGCTTTTTTTCTGTATGCATGTTTGTGTTATCTCTGTGTGCAAGAGCATGTATGTAGGTACATGTGTTTATGTAATCTGTGTATGTAAATAAATATGTAAATGTGTGCTTATGTTGTCTCTGTATACATGTACATGTAGATATGTGTTTGTGTGTCCTGTGTGTATGCATATTTATATGTATATATATACACACACATACATATGTGTGTGTGTGTGTGTTTCTATGTGTGTGTAAATATATGGTATGCACATGTGTGTATTTTTGTGATGGTATGTATCTTCTTAAAATTATTCAACATGTAGTCTAGTGTGCACATTCCTTATAATAAAACAGTCTATTCTACAGATTTTTCTCCTTTGGGAAAAAAGACACACAACCTGATAAAAGCACAATTTTAGTTTACTGTGCAAATCAATTGCACAATACTTTGTGTCATTGTGCTCTGTCAGCATCTGGAAGGGAATGAGCTTCCAGTCTGGGGAAAATTGCACTAAGGTTTGTATGTGTCTACACTGAGAGGAGCATTCTTAACAGAGAAATCACCCCAGCCATGCTCTCTTCATTTATAAACTTGTTGACTAAGCCACACACACAAGAAAATGTGCAATAGATCTTGTATTTGCCACCTCTGCTAGGAGAAAAATGACACTAAGAAGATATATGAAGAGTTATTCAAATCCACGAAGGGGAGTGACTACAGAGTAAAAGAAACAGAACCAAGTGTTAGACTCCATAAATCCTCCCCTCTTTATTGCATATAACCACCAGAAAAGAAATAATGAGCCTTCCTTTGTGATCGGCTTGTATGTGCCATTGATTTATCTGTGGTTAAAGGAGACTTACTCACTGAAATTGAAACAGACAAGACAGTGCAATTGAGGTTTGGCCTCTTGGCCTGCATTCTCATCAGAATTGGAAGCAAAGTCAAGTTTTTTTTTTTTTCTTTTCATTATTCCAGAATAAGAAACTAGTCTTGTGTCTTCTTTTTTATTTGTTGAATTCAAGCAGTGACTCATGTATTTACTGATCTGGTAACCTGGTATCTTAGTTACATTTCTTTTGCTGGGATAACACACCATGACCTAGACAATGCTTCGATTGTGCTCCTAGTTACAGAGGGGTAGAGTCCATGACAGTCATAATGGGAACCATGGCAACAACCAGGCAGGCATGGCACTGCGACTTAATATATAAGCATGAGGCAGAGACCTAATTTGGGACATCATACACTTTTGAAACCTCAAAGCAGGTCCCAAGTGGTATTCCTTCTCCAGCAATGCAATCACTCTTAATCCTACCCAAACGTGTTCACCAACCTACTGGGGAGCAAGTTTGCAAACAAGATCTTCTGGAGGCCGCTCTCATTCAAATCTCCCTACCTGGGTGGATTAAGGAAGTTGTATTTCTAAGCACCTACATCATGGTTCCTCACAGATCTGCCTGTCACATCTTACAACAGTGTGATTATAGGCATGCGTCACATCACCCAGCCTTTTCACAGGCCCTCAGGATCAAACTCACTTCTCTGTGAGAAAAGCATATTCGTTACTCACTGACCCATCTCTCCTGCCTCAATTTACAATTTTGTTTTCCCTGTCTACATTTATGTTCCTTATCCAAAAAATGGCAAATTTCAAGTGCCTATCTTACCTTCTTTCAGAAGCATACATGCAGGTGTAGTTACTTTCAAGACCAAATTTAATAGAGTTTGAGCACAGGCTGTTAATTAAGAATGATCTCATTTGAGGCAGCCTCTAAACACAGACAGTAATCGATGTGTAGTTTCTACCCTCAGCATCCTCTCCTGCTCCTCCTTCTCCCTTGTTTACTTCTTCCCTCCTCCTCCTCTTTCTATTTGTCACCAGTACATTAGGCAGACCTCATGCACTTGTTCGCACTCTCCATTCATCTACGATATAACCTTGAGCTCAAGGGTTGGACACTAAATGCCTGTTCTCTAAAATCAGAATGAGCCTCCGCCTCTTCTGGGATCTTCCAGAATTCTCAGCACAGCGCGCATACAGGCTAATGGGATTTAGCTGTGCTTTCCAGTTTTTTTTTTTTTTTTTTTTTGTCTCTTAGCACACATTTCTCTTACAACTGGGAAGAGCTGGATTTTCTCTGTGAACGAAACAGTGAGAAAGTTTAAATCTTCTCAATGCTACGGGGGGGGGGGGGTAATTGAAACCTCTCCTGACACACTCCATATGTTTCTCTGTAAGAGTTAGATTACAGCCCAAGTCTCAATTTGAGTGCAGAAATCTTATCTGTTAAATAGCATTCTATAGATAAACTCTAAGATCAATAAGCAGATAATACATAATGGACCTACTGAGTCTAGGCAGTAGGTAAACACTCAAGAGAAGGGCCCAGAGGGCAGCAGTAACTCTACACAGGTATACTCCATGATCCGCAGTAAGTTTTACTATAAAACAGTGCAATGGTCGATGGAATAGCTGATCTTAAACAGTTCAGAGCTTAATGCAGGTAATGAGTGAGTGACATGGAGGTGAACCCAATACTGTTTCTCCTTCTTTGAGGGCACAGTCCTGTGCTATGTAGGCATGAAGGAATATGTTGCAGGTTAGTCACTTTGGTGTTCCTGACAGCTCTCTGAAATCTGCCAGAAGGCACAATCGGTCTCCCTCCCTTTTATTTCAAAAGAAACACACTACAGGCTGCAATTTAAAAAAAAATTCCTATTTTATTTACGTGCATAGACCATGGTCATGTAAACTTTCATTCTTAAGCATCTAAGAAGAGCTCTGTGTCTCTTAGGTTTTGTCCTCTCTCTTTCTCACCACCTCTCTCTGTGTCTCTCTGTGTCTTTCAGCATGTATTTCTTTGAAACAGAGTCTCATGTTCTCAAGCTGGCCTTCAACAAGCAATGTAGTCAAAGATGACCTTGAACTTCTGATTCTCCAGCTTTCACATCCTGAGTGCTGAGATTTTTATGTGCACTGCCATGCTAATATTTTCAGTGGTGCTGACAATTGTACTCAGGGATTCATGCATTCCTTGCAAGCACTCTACCAACAATTACATCCACAGCCCCAACTTCCAGTTTCTTTAAATTCCTTTCTCTCACTGAGATCTTAAAGAGAAGTTCAGAAGGGCTGACATCATCACCCCAGTTAAGGGCTATCACAAAGATGTTGCTCTTAAGTAACACAACGTTCAGGTTGACAGGAGGTGAAATTACTCTGCAGATGAGCTCTCTCCATAGAGTAATAGCACCAAGACAGCAAAAGCCAGATAGGTTCAAAGATGAGAGTGAGGAGCGCTTAGGTCCAAAAAACCAAAGGGAGGCATCTTGATCTTACAGATTTTCAAGAAGATGGGGATGAGTTCCACACCAAATGCCCCAATCTACATGTGGGATGTCATCATTAGCATCCAGCGTTAAATAAGCCCCTCTAGGTTTCTGGCAGAAGGGAAGGAGCAGGCCTTGTCTGCAACTGCAAAGGGAAGTAGAAGAGCTCCGTGTTTACAGCAGGCTCTGCTCTTCTGTCCAGAGAGAGAGCCCACAGCAGGATGTGGCCTGACTCCTGGGAGAGGGGATGGTCAGAGGTTCTGTGATCTACTCCTTACAGCTTTGAAATACAGCTTTGATGCCTTTCTTGTTTGCCCTCTTATTTTTCACCCTCAGGAGGGACATCATCAAGACAGAAAGGGTTTCTTGGATGCATCCGCTCTTTACACTTGAATGGGCAGAAAGTGGACCTGGAAGAGAGGGCCAAGGTCACCTCTGGAGTTCGACCTGGCTGCCCAGGTCACTGCAGCAGCTACGGAAGCAACTGCCACAACGGGGGCAAGTGTGTGGAAAAGCACAGTGGCTACTCCTGCGACTGTACCAACTCACCATTTGAAGGACCTTTCTGTCAGAAAGGTAAGCCGTGCACACATGCCACTGCTGTGTTCAGTCCAGTAGCACACACACCCCATAGCCAGTAATAGCACGCCTGAGGCAATTCACACCATTGCTTCTGCTTGGTATGCTGTGGTACCCACATGGCATGGTCAAAGCAATGGTTCCAATGCCTTTAGGCATTCTACACCGTTTCTTCCGTGTGGCAATGATCAAACCAACATTCTCCATGCCCTCAAGCCTGGCTTTGTACTCTCAAGTTGTCCCATATTTAGACTCGGCTTACCTCATCAACATAATCATATCCTCTGTCCTAGCACTGGGCTTGTGTGCTTGCTAGCAGTGCAGTTGTGTTTGGTCATTGTCGAAAATAGGCACATCATCCAGGCCTAAGAAACAGCTGAAGACCAGAAACGGACCATTTACTAAAATTTTGAGGTCCAGTACCTCAATTAGAAAATGTATCAAAAGACCCCACAGCTGAAAAAGGAGCTACAGAAACACATAAGCCATCTTTAATTTTTTTAAAAAAAGAATGCATGTTAATGAGTAAAAAAACTGTTCACTATAAACTACTAGAGTTTTTAACTTTTATTTACAAAATAGTTTGCTGTGCACCCAATGTAAACAATGTTCAAAGAAGAATATTTAATATTGAAATGAAATATTTTTTAAATATTTTACCTGATGCAGGGCCCATTCATGAAGAAACTCTCCTTTTAGGTGTGTGTGTGTGTTCCTATGTATAATGTATGTGTATGAATATATGAAGGTGTAAACCATAGGAAAAATGGACATATGTGCTTCAGGTGGCATCTACCCAGTATTTTGAGAGTCCTAGACTCTCCAGTGAATCAGACTGACTGGCTAGCAAATTATAGAGATCTGCTGAATACTGCCTCCCAAGGCTTGTGATTACAGCCACCACCATGCCAGTTGTTATTGTTGTGTTATTATTATTGTTTTTTGAGACATGGTTTCTCTGTATTGCTTAGAGGCTGTCCTGGAAGTAGCTCTGTAGACCAGGCTGGCCTTGAACTCACAGAGATCTGCCTGCCTTTGCCTCCCGAGTGCTGGGACTAAAGGCGTGTGCCACCAACACCTGGCACTAGTTATTTTTTTTTTAACATGGACTTTGAGAATGAAACTCTTAATTACCAGAACAACAGAGCCATCTCTTCAGCCTTTAAAAACATTTGTCAAGCTCCACCATCAAGCACCATCACCAAATAGCTGTGATGATTTGCTTGTTATTTCTAGGAAACATAATAAACTCCTTGGGAAAATAAAACATTGGAACTAACTTTAGGACCAAGAGAGTGTTAAGTCATGAATCAAAGCTTGGAATAAGCAAAAAATAGCTCTTCACTGAAGACAAAAAGGTTTTCTATTGTACTTATTTATTTTGTTGAGAAACTGCATGTGATAAAACACACCTGTGGAGGTTGGAGGACAACTTGTGGCCATTGACCCTCTCATTCTACCATATGGGTCACACTGGTGTCCTGAGGTATGGTAGAAAGTGCTTTTCAGTACTGAGCCATCTTGCTTGCTCTAAAACCTTCGTAGATAAGGGCTCATGAACTCATAAGAGCTCTACTTGCTTACACACGACTTGCAATCAATCTGGTCAATGTTCCAACACTGAATTTGTAGGGACTCAAGAGGCCCCGCCCCTAGATGACAACCTATTGACAATTGATTGTTTGATTAGGTGGGGAAGAGTTTTTTTTTTCTTTATGGCTATGGCCACTTTTATTGTGCCCATGCTCCCTTGTTTGGTCTTATATTCATGGCAATAAAGCCACCATTAACTGCACTTAATGGGTGATAAATAAATAGCATTTACATAGGAGGAAATATGTGAGGATGGAAGGAGTTGGAGGGGTGTGATAAAAATACATTTGATATATGTCTTAGATTGCTTTCTATTGTTATGGAAAATACCATAACCAAAATGACTAGAAGAGGAAAGGATTTACTGAGTTTATAGTTCAAGATTAGTGGAAGGCAATGCAGGAATCCAGGCAGATCTTGGAGGCAGAAGATGAAGTAAAATCTGTGAAGCCGCGCTGCTGACAACCTTACCCTCATGGGTTGCTCAGCCTGTGACCTTGTACAACCTCGGATCACTTGCCTAGGGGTTTCCCTGCCCATAGTGGGCTATGGCATCCTACCCCACATTAATCACTAATCAAGAAAATGCCCATACAGACTTGACAACAGGCCAATCTGATGGAGGCATTTTTCTTAATTCAAGTTCCCTCTTCCCAGATTTCCCTGGCTTTGGTCAAGTCGACAAAATTTTCCAGGACAGGTGTCCCCCTTGTCAACTTGACACACTAATCTCTTACTATGAAACCATATCCTTTCCTTTCTTGCTTGTCTCTAAGATCTCACATTAATATCAACATCACAATATAAAACATTCCAAGTTATGAAAGCCCCACAGATTTTAAATTTTTAAACATTTTTTTTAAAGTTCAGTTGCTTTAAATATCTGAACTCTCTAAAAGTCTCTAAAGTGACATTTCCTCTGATTTATAAAATAAGTAACATCTTTTCTCATTTAAATGGGGAACCAGAGCACAGTTACAACCAAATAAAGTCAAACTAAACAAAGACAGTGTGAAAGTTCAGTGCTTGGCACTGGTACCCACTCAAGATCCGTGCTCCTGAGAGCCTAGCTAGATCCACTCCTCCGGCTCTGCTCTGCCCCTTCCTAAGTCAGCTCAGCTCCATCCGGCAAACACTGCCTACCATGACTGTTGTCTCAATCCCGGCATCACTAATTTGAGGGGTCTCTACCTTCACACATGGCTTCCTGGCATCTCTATTGTGACTCTGACACAACCACATGGTACCAAAATTCTGCTTCTACTCATGACCCCTCCAACCCTGGGGTTTCTGCTGTAACCAGGCCCATCCCACCACGATTGGCCTCTCATGATGCCCTGCTTAAACTTCTCCCCAAAACGCCGTCACAACTGTAGTTCAACACTTCCTAAAACAGTACCTTCTGGATGGTTCTTAGATATTCTCAACTTTGGTGCCAGCTTGAAATGTAGCCTTGGCCCCTCCCGCCCACAGCTCTGTGTGCTACCCTGAGTAAGCACTTTGCGTCTCAGGGATGCTGCTCTCTTATTAATCACAGCTGATCACTAGCTTCCCTGACCAGCATCTGGTGTCTCAGTGAAGCACAAGATTCACCTTCAGAGATATTAAATACAACATACTACATGGACAATCCCAATAGAGTCTGTTCTTCCCCCTGAAACTTAATAGGCTAAGACCCCATCATCTGCTTTGCTCTCAACAATAAGGTTCAAATTCATACAGAATACCCCAGTAGACTCTGAGCACACAATGGCCTTTCAAGCTCAAAGCACCAAATGCATTCCACTGTCCTCCTCCAATCAGCATATTCATGTTTCCCCTGGCAACACTGCATCAACCTGCTCCTGACTTCTGATTCATTTTACTCTCTTTTGCTATGATAAGTGCTACCGCTGACCAAAATAACTTAGGAAGCACAGAACTTATCTGGCTTATAGGACAGTCTATCATCAGGTGACAAGGCAGTAACCTGGAGGCAGGAACTGAAGCAGTGAGCATAAGGAATAGTGTATACTGGCTTGTTCCCCATGGTTTGCTCAGTCCACTTCCTGAGATAATCCAGGACCACTTGCCCAGGGCCAGCACTTCCCAGAGCAGGCTGGGACTTCCTACATCACTCATTAATCAAGAAAATGCTCCTAAAGGCTTGCCCAATGTTCAGTCTGATGGAGAAATTCTCTCAATGGTAGCTCCCTCTTGCTGTGTCAAGGTACCAAAAAATAACAAAGACAGCGTGTATAACATTCTTAAAGAATAAGCAAATACATTTAAACTAATTTGAAGACAATAGTGTTCTCAGTTTTCCCATTCGGAAAACTCTGCTAAAAGTTTCTGCAAGTTTAAGAGGGCATCCTTGAGTGGTCCCATCATTACAAGAAGCACACACATATTCAGGGAACCAGATAGGACACCATTGCATATGAACAGTATCCTGTAGCATCTGTGTCAAAATCCCCTGATGGAGAAAGGAAAACTTGATTGGTGGTCCTAGGTGCCTCTCTCAAGCAACATCACTCAAATATCCCTTAAACCATCCTCTAGCCTTAGCCTCATTGTTACAGGTTCCTTTTTCTTCAACATTTGTATTCAATCTCCTTTGTCAATACTCCCACAACTGTCGCCCCTCCCCCGTCTGTTAAAATATACTGTGTTATATTTTGATCCATCAGTTAAATAAGCAACTGCATGTTTCTTAGCCTTTTTAGGATCCTACCTAAGCTACCATTTCCAATGTCTACCTCTTCAGTGAAATTAAAGGGTTCCTTGCATGCAAGATGTCCTTCTTAGCCAAATATTTGCCTTCACAATTGCCCCTGGAAATGTTGTTTTGGGACTAAAAAGGAGATCCATGTGTCAAGAGAGAACCCTGAATGAAGAATGCTCCCTGCTGGGGTGTCCTCCCCTGCTTTTTATTACAACACCATGTTGTCAGAGATGAGGTTTTCAAACGTGTGGGATCTCAGGGATGCAATTAAGAACATGTGCTCATTTCCCAGTCCTGGGCCAAAACACCTACGTCCTGTTCCTTATGGTGCTATAACAAGGAAGAAATGGCTTAGAGTTTGAGACATGGTTGACATAGGTGAGTGTGAGTATGGCAGAGAAACATCTATTCCTCCCAGATTCTGGGAAGCAGATTTGAGAGAGGGGGAGTGGGGATCCCAGAATCTCCTTCCCAGTCTTGTCACCAGCAGCCCAGCTCCTTTCCGCCAGGCTCTGCTTTCTTGCTTTGTTTTTAGAGATTTATTTTTATTTTTTGTGCATGATTGGGTGTATTTATGGTGCGCGCGTGCGTGTGTGCCTGCATGTGTGCGTGTGTGTGCGTGCACCGTGCAGAGCCCAAGGACACCAGAAGAGACTTCCAGATTCCTTGGGACAGGGGATCCAGGTGGTTGTTAGCTGACTGACAAGGGTGCCAAGTGCTAAACTAAGGTCCTGTGGAATAGGAAGAAGACGGAGCCATCTCTCCAGCCCAAGTGACATGAAAGTCAAATCACTCTCAGAGCTGGGCACCTTTGATTATCTGGTTTCCTATTCTGCTTTAGGGCTTGTTCTCATTTATATTTTATACTGAATAAAAATATGATAGAAATATTCCTCCAGATAGGTAGTGTCTTGCTTTTTGTGCTTTTTAAAACATTTGTTCATTGTTAGTCATTGAGTTAGATACATTTCAAATGGAAAGAAATCCCTTGTTAAGGTGTACACTGTCCTGTTTCCTGCTGCTTCCAGAAATATGCTTCCTTACCCAGCTTCAGATTTTTTTTCCTTGCCAGTCACCTCAAATTCTCATGGCCACTAGCAGCCTTTTGCCCCCTGAGAAGCCAGTCCTCTTTATGTCTCTGTGGGGTTGCCTAGGCTGGAGCTCTCGCATGAAGGACCCCCCAATGCATGCTGCTTCTTTGAATCTCCTTTCTCCCGTTAGATGATGTCACTTCATCCAAGTCATGGCATGTTTCTTTCCATTGCCAAAGCATTTTCGTGAATACTCCTCACTGTGCTTGCCTGTTGGCCAGTCAGTGGACACTGGACTCTCAATTTCCTGATGCTCTTGAAGAAAACTACCAAACTACCACTGAAACTCGTGCGCCATTTTATGTATTTATATGAGCATGTGAAGCGGTTAGGGCACATGCATGCCATGTGGTCCCGTACACATCAAACAACAACCTTCTTGACTTTGTTTCTCTTCTTCTACCTGTACTTGATGGCACCACTGAGAAACCATGGGAATGGTTGCTCCACGGGGAGCCCAGTTTTATTGATTGTAGGTATGAGGTTGAGGACAGACGAAGGAATCTGAAGAGAGTCCGGAACAGAAGGGAATAAAAGCAAATAGCATCATCCAGGGCCAGCGTTCTCTCTCCTGCAGGGGTGGAGGGGTGACAGAGAGAAGTGGAATAAAATAGCAGAGACTAGCAAGAGAAGAAGGGATGGGGTCAGCAGTGGGGGGCGGGGGGAGCTTGCCAGTTTTGTAATCTGGAATAGTCTGGGAAGTAGCATAATGTCGGAAGTGAGATGGGCCAGCGGGCTGGGATTCTACTGTAGGATTTGAAATGCATAGCAGGTACATGCATGAGGTTAGCTTTGGGCTTTTTCAGCTAACCCCAGCAAATGTTAAGGGAACTGGGCATTTCTGATAGGTAGAAACCCATTTCCACAGGTTCCCGAGTAATGCCATCTGTGAGCTTTGATCTGTCTACCAGAAATCCTCCTAGAGTCCTAATGAGCTGAGCCTAGACTTTCATTTAGGACCAAATCAGTGGGCCTTCCCATATTTTGGAGATACTTGAGGCTTTTCTCTTTAGATCTATCACCACTGTGTAGTACTGGGAATAAAACTCAGGTCACTAAGGTTGGTTAGAGACGAGTGCTGAACCAGCTGGCTGGCCCCGTGCTTTATCTCTTGAGGAACTACTAAAATGATTTTTAAAGTCAGTTGCATATTTTCCATCCTTACCAGAAGTGCACAAGAGCTCTACTTCCTGCACTCTCACACACCTGTTATTGCACACCTATCTTATAGCACACACCTTACCATATGGGAATTGATGCCATACTGTGGATCTGACTTGCTCATATCTAATGACTAGTCATGCTAAACATTCTTTCAAATCATTACCATTCATTTCTATGTCATTTTGAGTAACTGCGTATTCAAATCTTTTGGAGACTTTTATTCTTGTTGCCATTCATTTGCAATTTTTCTGTCTTCTGAATATATATCCCTTATAAAAATATAATTTGCAAATTTATCCTCCCATTCTATGGCCTTTCTTCTCCTCGTTTTCAGTATATCTTTCGAAAAGAAAGTTCCCACATTCTTAATTTATCTTTTCTTCCTTTTATTTCTTCTGTTTTTATGGTAATCATGAGAAATAATTAGTGGATTCAAAGACGTAAAAATATGTATCTATGATTCTTCTAAGAATTCTATAATTTTAACTTTTCCATTGATGACCTTGTCACATTTGCATGAATGTTCACATTTGTTGTAAGATTGGGCTTTACATGATTCCGTTATCTATTTTATCAAATTTTAATTGCATTTATTTATTTAATTTATTTGCTCTTTCTCTCCCTTTTTTCCTTTCCCTAAGTCCTCTCCGTATGTTTGTCAGCATGTCAGGGCACATGTATGCTCAGAGAACAACATTTAAGCATAGCTCCTTTCATTCTACCATATGGCCTCAGGGATTGAACTCAGGTCCTCAGACTTGGTTGCAAGCATCTTTATCCTCTGAGCTACCTTGGCAGCCTTGAGATGATTCATTTGTCTGATAATATCAATCAAAATATATCTGGGCATCATTTATCAATATGTACTTCTTAGCTCACTTCTATTGTTGCCTGAATAAACAATTCTACCACTTAAATATTTTTGTTGCTAAAAGTGCTACATAATAAATTCAGAAATTTGTGTACAAATCTAGAAAGTTAAACTTAACCACAAAGGTACTCATTTATAAAACAAACAAATAAAAACATGTTACTCACATATAATATAGTGGAGATGTGGAGATCATATTGTATGCTTTATGTCACAGGCTTTTTTCATTTCAACATGTAAGCATTCCTGTACATGTCATAAATATCTGTAAGCATGAGTTTTAACCATTACAATAGTTCTCACTGTAAACACTGTCTTCTCTAATTCATCGGTCACTGAAGCTCTGCAGACTGGATTCAGATTCTTATTAATTTACCATTGTCCATGTGCGACAGTAATTATGTGTTTAATATCAGACTTCCTTGATATCCACATTCATAATGTGTGAGAATTGAAGTTTTATAGAAGGGATCATGTTTAGCATTCAGTGAATACTGCATTCAGCATATAAATTCTCCCTAAAGGCTGGCTCTTACTTTGTTTTGCAGTGTTATACAATCTGAAGTTAAAATAACAATAAAAGTTAAGATTCACTGAATATGCTCTAGATTTTATTTCTAAGTAATCTATTGGAAAACTAAACCCATTCGAGCACCTTTATCTCCTGTCATAAAACAGAAGAAAATGGATGAGTAACAGAACCTATTCATACTATTGAATTTAGCTTTATACTGAAACATGCAATGCCTAAACATTAGAAATAACTAAAACCTGGCTCAGGAGAAGAACAGAAATATCAATTTTGTGTGACATGTCTAGTTACAAAAGTTTTTCTATTTTTAATTTATTATCCTAAAGGGAAGGAAAATCATATTGTATATACCCATCTCTACTACGCTTTTCATACACTGTGAATCACATATATTTTTGACTATATACACAAACATCAAGCAACAGCTTTTATTAACTATAAAAGAGTGACACTCCAAAGACTACATTTTAATCCCCAGGGAAGGCACTTATTAAGGAGATCATGGGAAAACTTCTTATGGCCATAAGTGTTGGCTATTTTTAATGTAAGATGCACTAATATAACTTGCTTAATAAAAGTCAGACATTCTTTCTGAACCTTACTAGTTCTTGTCTACCAGACAATATGCATGAATATATAGCATTAATTAGGTAGGACAACTATAGACTCTTACCAGAATTTTTACAATAAAGAACAATGCCAAGAATATTAGGAAGTAAAGAAAAGTTTAGAATATTTTCAGAGCCCCTTCTCAGGGAAGAAAAGAAATCTATCACATCCATATGAACTCAAGTTTACCACACAGTTTTCCAGTCATATGTGTGCTCATAGATCTAAGAAGTGTTATTATATAAGATGATCTTTTCTTCACACCTCCATGTAAAAAGATGAGAATTAAACTTAGCTCAAGAGCAATCTGGACTCTTGAAGAATAAGTATTTCAACAAATTTAATTTGTTGACAGACATACAGTCAATAGCATGACATATTCCATGATGGCTACTGTGATTAACTTAGATTAAATTATCTTCTTTGTTTTTGTGTGTTTCCAGTATATGTGTACTGGAAACATGTATGTGATGATGTGTGGGTGCTCAAGTGTGCTTGCATTTATGTGGAGGCCAGAGGTCAATAATAGATATCATCCTCAGTTGCTCTTCTTATCTTTTGGAACAAGATATCTTCTCAAATCTGGCACTCATTGATATCTAGACTAGCCAATGAACATCATGGCTCTTCCTATCTCTGTTTCCCAACACTGGGGTTACATGTGCATACCATCACACCTAACTTTTTATGTAGATGCTGGAGATCCAAAATTACCTTTGCATACTTGTATAGCCAACATTCTACCACCGGAGCTATCTGGTCAATCCTAGGTGATACTGTCATGTAACAGAGAGGTTCCACAAATGCAGACCCTGCTGGGCAATGCTCCTCAGTGCTTTACAAGCACCATCTCACTGAATAACACGATAATACAGGGAAAGGGTTATTGTTGTGATTAACCTCCCCAGCCACATTTGTAGTCGCCAACAGTGGACACAGAAGGCTGGGAAAATGGCCCTGTCAGCAAAGCGCTTGCCCAACAAGCATAGAATATGAGTGTGGATCCCCCTTGTCCACATAGAAAACAAGGTGTTTCTCTAGAGGAGGTGAGATGACAGGAGTTCTGAGCCAGACATTCTAGCTAATCCATGAGCCCCAAGTTCAGTGTCTCAAAAAATGAAGCGGAGAGGGTTAGGGGAAGATATACCACCCTGAATCTCCAACATGAACCCTCATCCACATATGTGAACATACACACACAAGAATAGATTCGAGCCTCCTCACAATTATTAAGAAGCACATTGTCTGTTTTATTTAACACTCCTCACATAGTTTTGGGTGCAGTGAAACAATGGGCAGGCATCACAGCTACGCCAAGTATCTGACTACGTGTTTGAACGCATGTTCTCTTATTCTTTTTTTTTTTTTCCAGAGATTTCAGCTCTTTTTGATTCTGGCAGCTCTGTTACATACATGTTTCAAGAACCATACCCAGTGACGAAGAACACAAGCCTCTCGTCATCAGCCATCTACACAGATACAGCTCCATCCAAGGAAACCATTGCATTGAGTTTTGTGACAGCACACGCCCCCAGCCTCTTGCTCTTCCTCAATTCTTCTTCTCAGGATTTTCTAGCCATCATGCTCTGCAAGAATGGTGAGTGTTGGTCGTGTGAAGCCACAAGGCCAGCTGAAGGGACAGCTCCTGCTCAGCAGTACCCTGCAGAGCTAAGCAGATGGGCAATCTCAGCCTTAGCTTCCTTCCACTTTACCTTTGTAAGTCATAGTCAGTATCCTGGGAGCGTGTCTGTTTGCCACTGTTATCCAACTCATTGACTTTGATGTTTTCCTTGATTGTGTTGTGGTGATTATTATTATTTTTTCCTATGCTGGAGTCCATGAAATATAAAAGATCATAAAGAGGTCTGAATTTCAGAAGGGCCGTTTACACATGAATCCTGCCATTTTTGCTGCTGTGCTCTTCACTGGGGCCTGATAAAACAAAAATATTGGCTGAGTTTGGAGATGGGCTTTGTCTAAGTCTTCCAGAGAAATATGATAATGGGAGCCACACCCTTTGGCACAGATCTGATTTTCCCTTAGAGACATGAACTACTTCTACTTAATAATAGTCTGAATTGGCAAGACCAGGAGTATTTCTTCTTAGCCAGTGAGTACTACTGATTCATAAATTGAATTTTGTTACTTTCCTTTCTTGCAATTTTATTACAATTAGTGATGAGACTCGTGCTATTACAATTAGTGATAAGACTTCTGCCTTTGTACAGGGGGTTGTTGCCTTTTACAGGGGCCTCAAAAGGACAAAACACATTTCCCATCAGGTCCAATCATGAGCAACATACACATCCTGATGTATTTCCTGACTACGTACCTCCTGTCTGCACATGATTAAGTACATCAGGTGTAGTTGGTTCAAGAAAAAAAAATTGTTTTGGGAAGTAAAGCCTTGTAGCTTGTTACTTCCCAAGAGCTACAACCCCAACATTTCTTGAAGTTACCTTTTCCTTGGGCAGGTGGGGCTTACAGATTAATTTTGGCTCTTAACAATAGCAAGCCAAGAGTCAGAGAGGGGATCAAACCTTGCTTACTCAGCCTAGTGGCATAGTTAGGTATTTGGGTAATTTGTTTCTTTATGTGAGAGATACCCATTGGAACTCTCAGGTTTGCTGCTAGGTTATGGATTATGGATGGGCACCACCATACCTAAGTCTGTTTTTTTTTTTTTTTTTTTTTTTTTTTTTTTTTTTGGGTTTGTTTTCCAGATAGGGTTTCTCTGTAGCTTTTGAGGCTGTCCTGGAATTTGCTTAGTAGATTAGGCTGGCCTGGACCTCACACAGATCTGCTATCTCTGCCTCCTGAGTTCTAGGATTAAAGGTGTACATTACTACCACCTGGCTCCAAGTCTGTTTTCTTAATCATGGAGCTAAATGAGAAGTAGAATTCTTTTAGCATTTGAAGCACAATACTTTTAAATAGTTGTTGTGTCCTTAGTTAGGGAATCTTTCTTGGATTCATCTCTAGTGTCTTCCTTTCAAGGCATTTCAAAAGTCTCTCTTTAGTAGAAGCTCCACCTGACTGGAGAGGTATCTACATTTTAGAAACATTTAGAAACCCCGACTAAATTCAGGAAGCAGAGATGCATATGTCCTGACTGTCGATTGGTTGTGTGACAGGCAGGTAGGATAGCTCAGGTATGCAGTGTGGTTTCTTAGACTGACTCACAGGAGAGGCCCTTGATACAGAAAGACCTTGTGTTAAAAATGTGGATCCTAGAAGATAGTCATTGGATTTCCAGTTCATTGTGTGCTGGAGCAAAGTATTGGGCCAGAGACACATGAGTAGTGTTGAAAATAGACAGCTGATTAAGAAGGAGATAGGCAGTCCTAACAGGGCAGTAAGTAGCCTGGTGGGCTGGGACCTGGCTCAAGGTCATGTCAATTTATGTATCATTCGTTTACCATTCGCAGGGACTTATCTTGTACATTCTCTGGTTGGTTACATGGACCCTTCAGGAGAGGGGTTTCTCTGCTAACTGGCTTTTTATGTGTTGATCGGGGTTCAAGCCCTCTTACTTCTACCCTCTTGCCACACTTGTATTTTGTATCACTCGTGGGTCTTGCAGGCACTGAGTAGTCAGGGAGTCCAGATGATAGTTAATTCAGAATATGTGTTATTTCCGGCCAACTCCTTATCCCTCAGAGACAATACTGAGTGAATATCCCCATCGTTTCTCTAATTGTCCTGGTGGTTTTACTAGTATGACTAATATGGGGTATTGGAGAGACGAGCAACCCAGTGCTGTCTGCATACTATATGAAAAGAGGCAGATTCAGAAACTGCCCAAATGTGTAAAAAAAAAAATATATCATCAGCCTAGACGGAGTTGGAATGATCATATTTCTGAAGTAATCTAGCTGGAATGAAGACTTTGACCAACTATAAGAATGAGACTTCAGAGTTTAAGAATTATACCATTGGAACAAGTGCCTTTACTAATATTAAGTTCCTTCTCATTAGTGGTCTTCAGATAACAATTAAAAGATTATTTGCTGAGGAAATTATAATGACTTGAGAAAGAGGTGAGAGACAAAATAATAACTGACAAGGGTTGAGTTTCTTCTTAGATTTTGTGATTCTTTATTCCATCCTTGTACCATCTCCCATGAACATTTCTTTCTGTTAAGGCTTCATTTGCAGACTTTGAAATGTTCCTTGAGGAATTGAGAAGAATTCATATCTTCAGCATGTTTTTAGTATAATCAGAGCATTAAGCCATTGACCTGATTACCAGTGGATCAGGAACTAGGAGCATTTTAATGGAATTTGGCTACATTAGCTTGAAAAAAAGTGCTTCCGAGGTCAAAGTAGTAGCTCACAGGGGGACTAATATTCAAGGATAACTTCAGTTTGATAGCATGTTCAAGACCAGCCTGGACTACATGAGCTTCTGTCTGGAAAAGAAAAGAAAAGAAAAGAAGGAAGGAAGGAAAGAAGGAAGGAAGGAAGGAAGGAAAGAAGAAAAGAGAATCAGTTCCTCTATTGGATGTTATCGGTTCTTACAAGTTAAAGTAAGGTAGGAAGAATGAAAGCTCAGTAGTTGAAGACATTTACTATAAATCTTTTGTAATCAGGTGCTGAGGTTATAGTATATACCAACATACCTGAAATCAAACTCATGTCCTTAGGATTGCAGGGTAGGTTCTCTATAAACAAATATATCAACCCAGCCAGCTGTATTACGTTTTTTTATTGAATAATAATAATTCTCCCTTTCCCATAATGCCAACAGTTTTTCTTCAAAATTGTCATGTGACAAATATTCTCAGAGTTCCTTCCAAGTGTCAGGAACCATTTACTGTATCAGAGAGACAGTCAGGATGATGCCCTGACATTAAGAATCCGCTTTTCATCCAGAAACATATGTAAGTATCAGCTTCTCATTGGCATAAGCTTTGGGCAGCTTGAGTACAGTTAGACTATCTGCCAAGAAGACTGTGGATACTAGGTACATGGAGAGAACAAGTTTACCATTCATTCCAGCAGAGAAAGTCACAGAACATCCCATGAAATGAGAAAGAATTTTCAGTCCTGAGTAGTAAGTCGGTATTCTCTTGGTAAACACAATTTTAACAAAAACATTTTAATTCTTCTTTCCTCATTTCTCATGTTATTCCCACTGTATATTATAAAACGTGTGTGCATGCACCTGTGTGAATTATTTCTTTCCCCTTTGCTCGGATAAATTGTACTAATAAAGCCATTCAAGAAGGAAGCGTCACAGTTTGAGGGTACAGTTAGTTCATCCTGGAAGGGAGGAATGGTGGCATGAGCTAAATAAAGGCAGCAGAGAGCAGAGGGAGATGAACACTGCTGCTCAGCTCCTTTGTCTCTAGTCCAGGATTCCGGGCCATGGAATGGTGTTGCCCATTTTTACAGAGGGTTCCTAACTTCAGTTAACCTGATCTGGAAAAACACGCAGAGGCATGCCCTGAGGCTTGTCTCTTTTGTGATTTTAGATACTGTCCAGTTGACAGGCAGCATTAGCCATCATACTGTCTGCCTCTGTAGCCCTGATGCAAATATTGTAATTGGTCTTTTTGATTCCTTGCTGTCTGAAACAAGCCAGTGAAGTTAAAAGATACGCAGGTAAGCCATCAATCTTTGCTGAAATTCCTTTGGTATGAAGTCCAAATGGTGCTCCCCGGTCACCTTCCCTTATTCAGCTGTCTGTGGCATTGAGTGATGGGTGTGCCTTTGCTTCAGAATGTCTCTTCTATCAGTTTTGGCGGAGCATATAAATTTGTAAGGTTCACAGTCTGAATTTCTGATTGCCCACACCTCAAAAGGAATAATTATGACCTGAGGTACTTTGTACTTTGAATGTGCTAGCTCAACGGAAGTAGAAAGAAGAAAGAATGAGGAGAGAAAGTGTCTTCAAAGTGTAAACCCTTATAGTTGACACACAGAGCAAGTGGACAGTAGTATGCCCTGACTACCCTGCCTCCTCTCAAGGAAGATCTTCATCGGTCACTGCTTCTTCTGCTCGCCCACCTCTCTGACACTAGCATATGCTTGAGTTCCTCTGATGGACAGAGCTGGAGAGGCATGCCTCAGAATGTTATTTTCTTGGCCTCACTCGGCCCCAAACACTGTAGTCTCTGGGACCTCTCTAGCAATGACATTTCCTGATTAGGCTTGGCTGTATCACCTGCACACGTGTGTGACCTTTACATAATTTCTTCCTTCCCTTCCAAAATCCATTAAATCATAATGTAGCTGTGATCCATTGTGACCTTTCATCAATGGTAGGACTCCTCAATGGTAGGATATGTCCAGCCAGCACCTCACTAACCCACAGTACTACGTGGTGGGTCTGAATGAATGAATAAAGACATGTGGGTAGGATATGATATGAATGCTTATTCATTTTTCTATTCTTTTTATTGTAATGAATGCCTTAAATTTGTGTTTGCTCCTAAGTATCTAAATATTTAGATACAATACTATGTAATATTAACAGGATTTCAGCCCTACTTCCCAGCCTAGAAACGGAAGTCCTGATTTCTCCTTCTTCTGTTATGGTAAGATTGAAGAGAAATTATGTCAAATGAGGTTATGGAGGTTGGAGCCCTGATC